CCTGCCACAGTCAGAGAACCCTCCCCGGCACGGTGGGGTCCACCCCCTTGTAGGGACCCCTCTGGTGCTGAGCACATCTTTCTGCAGGCTGGGGCCTCTGGAGAGCACCGCCATGGGCCAGTACAGGGAAGTATCTGAGGAGCGCGCTCAGGCCAAGTGATCTGTACAGAAACGGCCCATAATTATGCACTCGGTCACGTCTCTCAGGGACTGGCAAAGCTAGCCAGTGCGTCTTAGACCCACAGTCCTTCCTCCTGTGACACTGACTGCTAGCACCCATTGGCCTGTCTCCCTCCTTCCGGGGCCTCTCTTGCATCTAGGGGGCAACCCATGAGGGAATTCTGGCTGGTGGAAATGACGCCTACCACTGCTAGACTCCAATGCAACAAATCCCACAAAATATTCTCTTCTTTCTTCCCGCCCACATGGCCAGAAGCAGTGATGATGGTGATGGGCCACAGTCTAGAAGGAACTTGCAACCCCAGTTTCCTCCCAGGAGAGCAACAAGGATCACATGACCTGGATTTCGTGGGAATGGATTACAAACCCTTGTTTTGCTGTGTTGTGTGTTGAACTGTGTCCCTCAAGATGCTGACATCCTCACCCCCTGTGCCTGTGAAGGTGACCATATTTGGAATTAGGGTCTTTGCAGAAGAAACATGTTGGGTTGAGGCCATGAGGGACCCTAATCCAATATGACTGGTGTCCTTATAGGAAGGGGAGATTTGGATACAGGGACGCACACGGGGAGGCCATGTGAAGAGGAATGGTGACGCTTGTACCAGCCAAGGAACGCTAGAAGTGGCCAGCAGCCACCAGAAAGCGGGGGACAGCCTCCCCCTCACAGCCTCCGAACAGTCACCCTGCCGACACACTGATCCTGAGCTTGCAGCCTCCGGAGCCGCAACGGAATGCGTTTCCGGGCAGTGCTGCTCTGGGGGACATGCACTCAGATCCTGGTGGTGGCGTCCCCAGCGGCTGTCACCACTCAGCAACGGACCCCTGATTCCACCCGAGGGTCACGGAGCCGGGATGAAAGCTGTTTCCTGGCATTCTGCGCAGCCAGCGGGATGCGGGGCGAAGCCGGGACCAGAAGAGGAATGCGGGGAGTCGGGGGATGCGTCGCGGGTGCTCACAGGAAGCCAGTCGCCAGGACCCCCTTGTACTTCCCCTGAGCCCTGCCTTCCGGCCCCGGAGCGGCTGGAGGGTGGAAGTGAGGACGCGCGTGCGGGCCGGCGGGAGGGCGTGCTGCGGCAGGTGGGGACGCACGCCGAGAGCTGCGTGGGCCACCACACTGTTGGGCCTTTCCGTGACACAGCCAGGTCCTAGCGACACACGAGACTCTCCTACGTGAAGAGCCGTGGTGCAGGCCCAACGCCCTGACCCACAGCGATGAACACACGGCACGGCCCCCGGGCACCGCGTGGGGGGCAGTGGGCGGCCGGGAGCCTCTCCGCCTCGCCTCCGACCGCCGTGCCTGAGTATAAATCAGACCCTGACCCGCGCCTCTTCTGCTCTGGGGTGGTGGAGCCCACCAGCAGCTCGACCACGGAATCGTTCTGTGTTCAGCCTGGGGGCTGGCGTCCACATTCCGGAAACCGCTGAGGTACAGTGACAACTAGAGCCGCAGCAACGGGCCAGGTCGGGAGGAAACCTCCCCAGAGTGTGAATCCGGCTGCGGGGAAGCCGGGGTCCGACACGGTACATGGGCTCATAAAGGACGCCACACATCACCGTGCAGCACAGATGCTGTCCGGTTCCCCGTTAATCAGTGCTTTGCTGAGAGAAAGCACAGCGGTGTCACCTTCACGGGGAGAAGACCCAAGCGCCCCCACGCAGAGCTGATGGCGGGCCGCAGACAGATGCTTCCATTTCCCATTCCGTGGGCCACCCTCTTTCCTCTGGGAATCAGCTTGCGACTGTGCCCCCTGAGCCCCAAACAGTGAAAGCTTCTCTAAACACTTCTTTTTAGGGGGTCGCCAACAGAATATGGACGACTACAACCTCCAGTCTCTGGGGCTGACTGGGGAGAGCCGTTCATGCAGCCAACCAACCAACCCGGAGACAAGAAGGGGCTCGTTTGGTTTCCCAGCATAATTAGGGAGCCATCCCAGACTGAGAGCTTTCCTGTTGCCCACGCTGGAGGGCACATGGCGAATTCCTACCCAGACGCTCTCTGAGTGCGGTGTACTGCACTTACGCAGCCCCATTTTATAAACAGAATAAGCAACCTGTTTCATTAATGTTGTGAAGCATGTAAGACGTAGGCCTGCTTCATCCCCACATAAGCCCGAGGAGGAAAAGCAGGGCCTGGGACTCGGCACACGGGCTCGCACCCCTGGCCCCCAGCAGCCCTGGAGCCGTGATCATGGCCAAGCCTGAGTGCGTCTACCGGGCACAAGGCCTCAGACGCAGGCGCTGCGTCACCCCTGACCAGGACAGATTCCTAACAGCGTCCTCCAGAGAAGCAAGTCAGAGTGTTGAAGTGAACGGTTTTCTTAAGAGCCACACCTAGTTTTCTTAAAAAAGGGGGAGAAAAGGCACCTAGAAATAGTTTTGTGTTTTTTCTAGACTATAGATTTAAAAAAGGGGGGGGGGCGCCTGGGTGGTTCAGTCGTTAAGCGTCTGCCTTCGGATCAGATCACCATCCCAGGGTCCTGGGATCGAGCCCCGCGTCGGGCTCCCTGCTCCGCGGGAAGCCTGCTTCTCCCTCTGCCACTCCCCCTACTTGTGTTCCCTCTCTCGCTGTCTTTCTCTCTGTCAAATAAATAAAATCTTAAAAAAAAAAAAGCCTTTTTATTTTGAAATAAATTCACAGGAAGTTTCAAAAATAGGGCCTAGCGTCCCATACACCCCACACCCAGCTTCCTCCCAGAGTGACACCCTCTGTGACATGGCACAGCATCCAGCGAGGACACTGACCACACACCCTGTTCAGTGTGCATCATTCCACAGATTTTTAAGAAGGGAAAAACTTCATAAAATATCAGGAAATTATCTCTATACTTTTTTTTTTTTTTTTTTTAGTTTCAGGGGTAGAATTCAATAATTCATCAGTTGCACGTAACACCCAGTGCTCGTCACATCACGTGCCCTCCTTAATGCCCATCACCTGGTTACCCCATCCACCCACCCACCTTCCCTCCAGCAACCCTCAGTTTGTTTCCTGGAGTTGAGTTGAGAGTCTCTTATGGTTTGTCTCCCTCTCTGATTTCATCTTACTGTATTTTTCCCTCCCTTTCCCCTATGATCCTCTGTTTTGTTTCTTAAATTCCACATATAACTGAAATCATATAATAATTGTCTTTCTCTGACGGAGCTATTTTGTTTAGCATAGTACCCTCTAGCTTCAGCCACGTTGTTGCAAATGGCAAGATTTCATTCTTTCTGATGGCTAATATTCCATTGTGTATATATGTACATACACCACTATCTATGTACTCTTACATTTAAACAAGTCCTCTAAGTGAATAGTACAAGTTTTCTTCAGAAAAAAAGATATTCCAGTTGAGGCTTTTTGAAATATTTCCATGCTTCAAAGTGAGAATCATTGCTAAAGGGATTCTAACATGAACACTTTTTAAAAGAGGGCTGTCATGCCAGGCTGTGTCTGTCAACCCCACAGATGCCTGCCTTGGGCTGAGCGTTGGCCTGACCCCTCGGGCAGCCTCCCCCGGACTCTCCAAGCCCTTGTACCCACAAGAGTGGGCAGCCTGTGGCTGGGTGGGGTGCAGCCCAGACCATCGCACATCATACCCCGTCCCTACTGGACACGTGGCCAGACCCCCAAACCTCACAGGCTCCTAGCTCCTAGAAGGCTCCCCAGTTGTGTTGGCGATGAAGCCTGGGGCCGGGCACCCCTGTGCCCAGAACATCGCCACCCCCAGGGGGACAACAGGAAGGTCAACGGAGCCTGCTCCCCATATTCTCCCCATTGATGGCCACACAAGTGTGTTGAGTGGGTTTCATATCCATCTGACAGCCCTTTTTTGGACTTCTTTTGCATTTTAAGTGAATTTAAAAATCTATTCCTGATGTTACCTTTTACTTTGGAATCTCTAGTAATTATTGTATAAGTTTTGTGAAATACTGTCATCATTTGGGATTACTCTCTAAATGCTGTCTCTTAAAATCAATCTATTTTATCTACCTTTGAACACTCTGGCCATTTTCTAACCAGTGTCTAAACAGAACACTGGAGACCCCCTCTTCCACACTTTCCCCCCCATGCCAGCTGGGCTCCAAGTCCGACCACCAGGCCAGGAATCAGAGTCACTGACACCCAGATGCCTTGATATTCAAGGGAAATGCAGAGTGACGCCTGCCATCGGGGCCTGAGGTCTGGCTTTCCTTTAGAAGCTGGGACACAGAGCAGGGTCCTGCCAGGGCAGGTGGTACCACAGTGGGAAAGAGTGGGGGGTCGGGAGGAGAGAAGCAGTGGGGTTCCTCGGGGACAGGGCAGAGAAAGGCCAAGGAAGGGAGGGGCTGAGGGCACGTTCTCTTCATTCTCAGCCTTACCGAGGGTCTGCCTGGGGCTGGAAGCATCATTTCCGATCCTCTGCATAAATACACGAGTATGCATTCAACCTGCGTGGGGCCCCTCCAAGCAAAAATGTGCCGGGAGGGCCTCAAGTGAAGGCCCCTCATGCCATGAAGGCGTCCCCTACCCACAAGGGCAGATGAGCCTCCAAGTGCCCCTGGAGCCCCCGGTGGAGGGCCAGGCTGCAGAGCTCCGGGCCTTGGGCTCCGTTCAGGGCCGCGGACGGGCCCTGCATGGCCGCAGTGGCCTCCAGGCCTCAGCTCATCTTCCGGCTGCGTGGCTCTGAGTGTCCACCGCATGGATCAATGCTGGCCATTGTAGGGGTCACTCTGAACCACACAGAGACAGCGCCGTCTCTGTGTCTCCAAATCAGAACACGTGGGCTGGATTCTCTCACGGGACTTCGGCTTCCTTCTCCCACGGCACGGGAAGATTCCAGAAAAGAGCAAAAGGCACTTACTTTTCTTATCTGTTGAGTTGTGCACTGTCACCATGGGGACTCCAGGACCTGAGTGGGGAGAGAGGAGAAGCCAGAGAAGAAACAGGAAGAAGGCTGTTAGTTTATCTGAAACACAAGAGAATCTAGCCTCCCTTGTAGCTTGCACACAGCGGGCTGTTGCAGGCTACCCGTCTGACTTCGTGCCCTCGGTAATCACAAGGAACCCAGCTCAAACTCCCAGTGTGCACGTTGCCGAAAAAACCACAAACAGCCTTTCATGGAGCCTCCCTTGGTGCACTCCCTCCTCGCTCCACGGTCCCTGTGCCGACGCAAATCACACGCAGGGCATCAAGTTCCGGTGAATGATTCCAGTGGCGGTTCTCGTCCCAGAGAGGTCGTTCCCTCTGCTGGCCTCTTGGGACCCTTCGCAAACACTTACTAGCCTAGCGGGGTTATTGTGCGGATGGTCGCCTGTGGGTCTGTTCCCTCCTGCGTGACATCAGCTTGCAGCTCACTGGCTCCGAGGCCGTCAGGAAGCCCAGAGCCCGGACGTGGGAAGGAAGGTCCGGCTCCGGGCAGAGGGGCCCTCCTTGGCTTCAGTCTTGGTCAATGTCCTTGTTCTCTTGAGGGAGAAGAGAGTCCAGAAAGCAAAAGGGGCTTTCCAAATTATTTTTTGTATCATTTTGAAAGTATACTATGAGGCAGGTGATCGTTCTGACCTCTGCTCTGCCCTCTTTGTGAATTCACTCTGTTCCAGCCAGCTGGACTTGTGCAGCCTGGAAGGGCGCCCACTATTCCCTCTGCCCCAGACACCGGCATGCTTGCTAGTTTTCCTCATTCCAGTCTCTGCTGAAATGTCTTCTCCACCTGACCGACGGGAGCCTCCTTGACCACGCCACCAGCCCCTACCCGTCCCCACTCCCTCCCACTTTAGAGAGCTCCCTGCCACGTTCTGTTGGGACCTCAGGATGGGAATTTTCAGTATTTGCTCACTGTGCTTGTCTTCAACTGCACAAGAGTGTAAGCTCTAGAAGAGCTGTCTTACTCACTGCCATTATTTCTAGCATCTAGATGGCGTTCAGAATTATAGTTGGTGCTTGATTTCATATTCATGGAGTGAGTGCTGAGTGGGGGTCACAGAGCATCCAAGAAGGAGCAGGGGAGGGCTGCCCCTTGGCCCTGGGGGACTGGGCACAATGAAGGCAGAGAGAGCAGGTGGGAGGCTGGGGGAGGCAGGGGGGCAGAGGGAGATAGGGCCATGGCAGGGACACCGTGGCCAGGGTGCTGCCTGCTCTCTGCTTCAGGCTGGGGACGCTGGGACGCTCTGAGCTCAGGGCTGGCCACGTCTGAGCTAGAGGACGTGTACTGTTTGGGGAGAGGGACGGCCGGTGTTGAGCTTCCCTGGGATCATCATAACTTCTTGCATGTTTCTCTGGGACCACATGACAAGTGGCTCCACTGAGAGCCTGGAAACGTGCCATAGATCCCACTGTTCTGAGGACTTAGAGAGCCCACTGCAGTGGCTATCGAGTGGAGGTCCCAGTCCAGGGCCCAAAGAGGATATGCCACCAAGGAGCAAGATGGGGCTGGTTCAGCCAGGGCCCAGCTAAGCTGAGAGACAGACTGTGGGTCGCACCAGCCATGGCCCTCAGAGCCTGTCCATGGCCCAGGGACTGGACCCAGACACTGCCCAGTGCACATCCAAAGTCCGGGAGGCCTAGGGGTCTTATTTCCCCCTCCCCCTTCCCTCCTCCACCATTCACCCATTAGATAGGATTGCCCAAAAAGAATGCAGGATTTTCGGTTACATTTTAAGTTCAGATAAACAATAGAGTGTTTCGTTTCGTTTGTTTTGTTTTGTTTTAGTATAAATATGTCCCATGCAGTATTCAGGACTTACCACTAAAAAAATTGTTGTTTACCTGGAATTAAATATAATTGGGTGTCCTGCATTTTTATTTGATAAATCTGACACCATCTCCCCAGGGGGGGCCGGCAGCAGTGATCTGAGAGTCTAGGTGTTTAAAGAGACAGCACTTACTGAAAGGGATTTAAACATTGGCTGTGGGTTTAAATTATTGAATCAAACTAAGTTTCCTGGCTCCAAGATCCATTTTCCCCTGTGGGGAGCTCATGTGGAAGAACAGATCACTTATTGAGTAATAAAGAAACTACATCTATTTTCTCTGCACATTTCAGGGTGAGTAAATTTGCAAACAGAGCGTATCCTACATTTTTATTAATAATGTAAACAATTATTATTTATTTAGTGCCTACTATGTAAAGGTGCTCTGCAAGATCTATAATATGAATAATTCATAATCCTCACAGCAGCCCTACAAAGTAGATGCTTCTAACCCATATTTTACAGATGAGAAAACACAGGTTCTGAGAGTTTGAAGTCTTTCATCTCATCCATACAATCAGAAACTCATCCCTCCTCAATTTTTAATTCATGAACTTGATATATGTTTCTAAAAAAAAATGCAAACACTAAAGAAAGGAGTAGAGTGACAAGTGCAACACCCTTCTGACCCCTGCTTCCCAGAAGGGACTTAAGCGCTTCTGAAAAGTCCTAAGATGCTTCTCTGTGGTCATATTTACACATAAGCAGATATTTTAAACAAACAGATTCAAATAACATAAAAATACTTACATGTAAGTTGGCAGCTTTATCAAATCTTAAGGTTGCACCCTATTGCCTTAGTTGTTTTTTTTTTTTAAAGATTTTATTTATTCATTTGAGAGAGCGAGAATGAGAGAGAGAGAGAGAGAGAGAGAGCACATGAGAGGGGGGAGGGTCAGAGGGAGAAGCAGACTCCCCGCCGAGCAGGAAGCCCGATACGGGACTCGATCCCGGGACTCCAGGATCATGACCTGAGCCGAAGGCAGTCGTTTAACCAGCTGAGCCACCCAAGCGCCCTGTTTTTGTTTTTGTTTTTAAATAAAACATAGAACACAGACTTGAGGTCACCTGTCCACCCTTTCCTGATCTCCGCCTGCTCCCTTCCCAGAGGCAACTGCTACTTGGCACCTCCCTGCACACTTAAAAAGTCTTTCTGCCACATGGTACATACCCATAATCCTGGCTAGGGCACATGCCGGGTAATAGAGCAGCCGGGGGGCGAGGCCACACAAGTGGCATTTGAGGAAGCTTGTGTGTGCAGCACAAGTCAGCATGGATCTGGGATCTGACGGCGCTGGTGCTGCATGGCCGGGCCGCTCCAGGGCTGCAATGTCTTGCAGACACCCCTGCACACGCACTCGCACACGAGGAGGCTCGCGGTAGACTGTTCTGGGCAGCAACTGTGGCTGAGCAACAGTGGCCCTGCTAGCCGTGAGCAGGAGGGTCCGCCGAAATGCGGTGCATTCACACAGAGAAGATGAGCGGGTGCACGAATGAGCAATTGCACACCCAAGGACATGGACAAAATGGAAAATATACTGTTGCATGAAAACACAAACTTGCAGAACGGTAAATGCTGTAATACACAATTATATAAATAATTCTTAAAGACTGCGAAACTCTTAACAGATGTATATACAGTATTCCATTATATGGCCAAATGATCATTTATTCGGTGCCTTCCCTACTGATGGAAGTTTAGGCTGTTTCCTTCTGTTTTTTGTTACCATAAACGGGGTTGCAGAAAACCCTTGTGCTCATATCTTCGCACATAGGTAAGACTATGTCTGCCAGTTAAGTGAGTTACCAGCAAGGCAATTACTGGGTTAGAAGGTTTTATGGTCAGCTTTCACTAGATGAGCTCGAGGTTTCAAACACCAATCCCCTACATTCAGCGCTTACAAACAATGGAAGTTTATTTCTTGTTAATGTTACATCCTGGTAGATACATCAGCTATAGTCCCGCTGGGTTCTCTGCTGTGCACTGTCTTCATTCTGGGACCTGGGCTGGAACTCCAGCCCTCGTCTGGGACATACTGGCTCACCCCAAAAGTGAGCAAGGGAGACATCCAGGGGCTCCTAATACGTCTGGGCCCAGCTGTCATTCACACTGGCTCTCATGCCTTTGGCCAAGGGGTGGGAGAGAGCTCTCCTGAGGGGGAGCTGGGGGTCACGTGGCGGTGGGGAGGGTTTCCGGGGATGGGGGGGGTCTGTGTGAGACACGGGACAGTGGTCCACCACCCCTGGCACAGGCAACATAGATACTGTCTCACCGCTTTCTAACTTATAGTGTATGGGGGGGGGATCTATATTATAACTTTAAAAAATGTTTCTTTTTTCCACTCTGATGGGAAGATAATGTATCTTGGTATTTCTTCAATTAAATTTTTCAAATTTTGAGTGAAGGGGGCTATCTTTTCATGCTTATTTGACATCTGTGTTGTGTGCATGTGGGTGTCACTGTGTGCATGTGGGTGTGATTGTGTGGGTGTGGGTGTGACTGTGTGCATGTGTGTGTGTGTGTGCATGTGGGTGTGATTGTGTGGGTGTGGGTGTGACTGTGTGTACTGCGAACCACCCTTCATCTGCTGCAATTGCACTGTTGCTTGTCCCCACGCTATTTAAGAATTTAGCTCTTTACCCTGCTGCTGCAGATGCTTCTCCTTTGTTCTTTCTAATTGTCACTCAAAAAAGTGCTCTTAGCACCAATGGTAGCAATTGTCACACTGAATTGCAATTTTTAAGAACGCAACTGCTCTGGTGCACCTGGGTGGCTCAGTCGGTTAAGCATCTGCCTTCAGTTCAGGTCATGGTCCCAGGGTCCTGGGATCGAGCCCCGCATCCGGCTGGATGCTCAGTGGGGAGTCTGCTTCTCCCTCTGCTGCTCCCCCTGCTCCTTCTCACTCTCTTTCTCAAATAAATAAATAAAATTAAAATGCAACTGCTCCTACCAGGTTCCCACCATACCCCCAGCGAACAGCAGATGGACAGACAGACACACATACACTCTCTCTGAAATCCTTGGGCTGGCAGTCCGTGTCCCCCCAGTGCCTATTCAAAATCTGGGAGCCAGCGCTGTATACAAAACGTTTGCTGAATGGATTAATGGCTAACAAACAAAGGCCTTTTAAGCACATACTTGGCTGTGACATATCAAGGCAGC